AAACCCCTAAACCTTAAACCCTAAACCATATACGCCCCTAAACCCTAAACCTTAAACCCTAAACCCTTAAACCCTAAACCCCTAAACCCTAAACCCTAAACCCCTAAACCCTAAACCCCAAGAATATGCCCACGCCCAGGCCTTGGACTCCGCCCCGACCTTGTCAGCTGCAGCGCGGCGGAGCCCTGGCCAAACTTGCTTGTGGAGCTGATGCTTTTAGGGTTCCGCTGTGGTTTAGGGTATTTTGAGGTTGAGGGGTTAGGATTATTTTGGGGTTCAGGGTTCTTTTGGGGTTCAGGGGGTTCAGGGTTCTTTGAGGGTTTGGGGCTAAGGGTTCTTTTGGGGTTTGGGGTTTAGGGTTTAGTGTTCTTTTGGGGTTCAGGGGTTAGAGGTCGTTTAGGTATAGAGTTTGGGCCATTTTTTATCGATTTAGGGATTATGTTTTTGCGGTTTAGGGTTCTTTTAGAGTCTGTAGTGTAGTTACGGGTTTCGGGATTAGGGGTTTTGTGCTCGTAGGATTGTTGAAGGCCGAGTGGGTAACCCTGAACCGTTTTGAGCACAAGGTTAACCTTGTTTGCACGGGAACTCAGCAGCTACGGCTGATGGCATAAATCCTGCATACCCATAATAAGGAATATACCATAATTCCCATGAATTCAGGGCCCTTTCTATAATGTAGGATTTTTTTCTCAACAGCAGGGATGGAAAAGCACTAAACCCTAAACCTTGAAGCCAGTGTTTTGTAAGAGCTTCCTCGCCTTTGTGGCCCTTTGTAGCGGACCTCTTTTCAGCGAAATCCCAGATATCAGAGCCTGAAGTGATGGAACCCTAAACCCTAATAACCCTTTAGAACCCTTGAGAAAAAGGAGTGAAAGGCCGTCAACGTAGTTTAGTAAAAAAAAACCCTCTATCCCTTTAGGGCCTGTAAGCAAAAGGAGCCTAAAGTGAGCCCAGAGCCACAGAGCCGCCCTTCCGAGACACACGTTTTCGGCAGCAGTTTCGAATGGGCCCGGGCCTTGTGCCTGATGACTTCGACGGTGGAGGCCAAGGGATGTCGATTTGCAAAGCTTTTAGGGTTTACCGTAGGGTTTTAGGGTTTAGAGGGTCTAGGGTTTAGGGGATTTGCAAAGCTTTTAGGGTTTAGACTAGGGGTTTAGGGTTTATGGGGGGTTTAGGGGATTTGCAAAGCTTTCTGCGAGGGGGTTCGTAGAACGTCCCGAAACGCCTGGACAATTACCAATCCATAGGGCTCCTTGGTATAATTTTTAGTATTCTAGCTAGTAAGACCCTTATACTACAATTGCAGCTTTGCTGTGCCTTGTTTTGCTGCTGTTGACTTTGAGTTTGAGGGCTGCGATGTTAGAGGGACAGGCGGATGGAGCAGCCGTAGGCTCTATAGTTCTATGCATGCGAGATATGCATGTATACATGTAGTTGTAGATATGTAGTTGTAGATAGCTATATGGATATATGGGCTGATAGATGGCTAGACAGAACGATAGATCGATAGATAAATAGACAGACAGACCGACAGATAGGTTAGATAGATTAGATAGATAGATTGATAGATAGATAGACAGATAGATAGATAGATGGATAGATAGATCATGGATAGATGGATGGGTGGATAGGTAGGTAGGTAGGTAGGTAGGTAGGTAGGTAGGTAGGTAGGTAGGTAGGTAGGTAGGTAGGTAGGTAGGTAGGTAGTTAGATAGATAGATAGGTAAAGGGATAGGTAGATAGAAAGATATTTAGATGGATAGACAGATAGATAGATTGATTGGTTGATTGATTGTTAGATAGATAGGTAGGTAGATAGATAGATAGATCGATAGGTAGAAAGAAAGATAGGTTTATAGTTAGATCGACCGATAGATGTGTACACTGTGTATATACATATATGTATGTACATACATACAT